GCTGCTGCCGCCATGTCGTGAAGACGCTGTGTGCTTCGTTGTGAAAGCGAAACTGCTTTGTTTGGCCTTCCAAATAGAGGACACAACTAGAAATCAGTGGTTAAGTTTTCTGTTCCGGAACAGTTCAACCCAAATATTCAGATGTGTGCAGCGCATTTTATGGAGGACGAGAACGAGGACTGTGTCCTGGGAGAGTAATGTTAGCCTACAATGCCGGTGTCTGTTTCTATAAAGTGGGGCAATTCCAACTTTGCAAGGACAGTCTGGCGCTTCTGTCCCTCACATTAAGATATGGAATGGCTTCAGATGATATAGCAGCGCTCCAGACTGAGAACATTTTTTCTGCCTGCGCGACTAAATTTTGTGTGCGGTCGCACTGGCGCGACCAACGCGTTGGTCAACTCATAAGCGCTGCAATTTCTGTTGCATATGAGAAACATCAAACGGCAAACGAAACTGAAAGCATAACGAAACAGCGCTTAGAGAGTATAATCGCCGTGTCAGCACGAGCGCGAAGGTGCTCGCAGCAAAAATTATGCGCATATTGAGGAAACGATGGATGGTTTTCAAGCGAAAGTCAAGTAAAAGACCGCTTCTTAAACCAGAGAAGGTGAACATGCTGGTATTCTTGTGGGGAAAAAAACATGCAAGCACTGTCACCGTTAGTTTTACTTTTCTTTTTGTTTTCATTTTTGAAAAACTTATCTTTGCTGTTTACCTCATTACGCTATGGAGGCTCTCTTTTATTTATTTATTTGATTCCTCAGTGTTTGCTAAACGTTCTGTAATTTATTAGTCGGTATATAATACAGCATGTGGTATACAGTGCATGAAAAGCAAACTGGTGCTCTTCTGTTTCTTTTGGTGTATGACTGCACCTTGTCTCCTATAAAAAGCACAATAATCAGCGATTAGATCAAATAATCGCGATTAGACGGTTATTTAATTATCGCGACAGGCCTAAGTATCGATATCGGTATCGATAAAATGTAAACGATACCCATCCCTAGTCCACGCCTTTTCAGCCCTAATTCTTCACTGCGCGTCTATTTTAACTCCAAAAGGCGGTTTGCGCTGGTGCAAGCGGTTAGTAAATCTGGCCCTAAATTATTTATTCAATTTATATTAAATAAGCTATCTTTATGGTATATACACAGTTCAAAAGTTTGAGGTGGGTAAAAGTTTTTTTTTTAAAGTCTTTTATGTTCACCAAGGTACACAGTAAACAGTAGCTAACATTGTGAAATATTATTTCAATTTAAAATATCTGTTTTGCATTTTAATATTTTAAATGTGGTTTATTCCTGCACATTTTCAGCAGCCATTAAGCCATGCATTTCAAAGAAAAGCATTTATTTAAAATAGAAATATTTTGTTAAATTAGTCTTTTCTGTCACTTCTGAACAATTTAATGCATACTTGCTAAATAACAGTATTATTCATACTTTTGAACAGTAGTGTATATGAAACTAAAACAGGCCATATTTTTATCATTCAGCACATCGAACAGCGTGAATTATATCACTGAAAATAATATTTCGTAAGCATCTACATTTCCTCTTGCACTCATTTCCACTTTACCTATCATGTGACACCCATTACGGGCAGATGGATGCACAAACAACAACCCTCTTATGTAGTTAATTACATAATTACAGATGGCCTTTCCCATCAACCCTTTATAGATAAAGAAACACAATCCAAGTGCAATAGACATTCAGCCCACAAACCACCCACTCACATCCAGACACTGATGACAACCTGACTAAAGTCTGACTATAACTATAGCAGATGTGACCCTGGCTGAACGCTTGCCTAAATTTTAGGGAAATTACCGATACGTTTACGAACCTCAATCTGGTGTAATCCGATCATCATCCCTGTTCACTGACAGACTACTAACAGACAGATGTTAGAGGACAGGCTCAAACACTCATAAGTGACAGCAATGATTATATAATATATAATTTAGTGAGAGTGAAATAATTGTATTACTTAACTTTCTTCCAAGTTCAAAACATTTCAGACCGATCAAAACTAGCAACTATATGCATAAACGTCAAAAAGTTGTGACTGCTTACAATGTCATTCATTCAGCATTTCGGACATTGCATTCAAGCTATACATTTCATAATTTCAAATTTGACAAAGGGTCTAAAAATACTACTACAGTATGTAAAGTTGGATAATCAGTGCTTAATCGGAAACAGCAATCCTGTTTCTAACAAAGACTAAATAAACAGCTAGTTCAGTCTCAATCAGCACAATGACATAAAAACAACACTTCTCATTGCCTTAATTAAACATGCATAAGACAAACAGACAAAGTGTTAAACTACTGACTCATCAAGCACACACAAGTAACACACTGTAACATGGAGACTTAACATATGTAGAGTCATTCATTCTCTCTCACTCACAAACTTGCACACACATAGACACATAAGCCACGTGTAATGTGCAAGGTAAATCATGTGATGGGTTATGCCTGAAAACAGTGCTCATCTATTTCTTTCATATTTTCTCAAGCCAATGCAGTCAGAAGAAGTATGATCAGCAACTACAATTCAGAAACCAACAAAATGTCCAAATCTGTTTCAACGCCTTTATTAAAACCTCTCCAGCCTCCAGCCTAAAAATCATTTTTTAATGCAAAGTCCACTTATCCAACGTATTTTTAACTTAAGAGCGGGTGTAGCTATTTTTATTTTGAATGTGCAAGGCTTCCACTGTCAGCCACTTGCAGTTATTTTAGCAGTTATTTTATGCTGCTTGATATTGCATATTGGTTTGTTACCATATTTTAATTTATTATTGTAATCATACCATTTACTGCACTTTTATTCAACCCTCTACATTGCGAGTAAATCACTCGCATATGCAACTAAATCTTCACTCTGGGCAACTAAATTATGTCTAATATTAGCCAGTGGCAAATAAATTATTAGATTTTACTCGCCAGTGTGTAAGTTGGAGGCTAAGTATAAGTTAATCACAGATGTATTTTTACTTGCTGAACACACTGACTGAGCGCTTCAGAGTTTCACCCTCTGTCAAGCGAGCTGTGCTATTTTTCAGTTCATCTCAATGCATGCGCAGCGCACCTGTATTTGACGTACCGTAAACTCTAGTGTGAAGGCACACGACTTTTGCTTTGCTAAAAGCACTGTCTCACACACGCAAACAAAGAGAGAGAGAGTCTTAAAGGGGTCCTATTATGCTTTTTCACTTTTTGAATTTTAGTCCGTGTGTAGCGTGTATGTTTGGGCATAAAAAAGATCTTCAAACTTACAAATCTCAAAGTCCACTCCAAAGGGAGATATTTCGTTTAAAAAAAAAAAACCTTTTCAAGAACTACAACGAACGGCTCGTTTGGACTACAGCGTTTGTTTTCCAGGTTTTGTGATATCACAAAGCGGTCCATTAGAATATCATTAAAATAATTCCCGCCTATGGAAATTCGAATGGTTGGGGGTGGGGAGGGGCGAGGTCGTGGTTAGAACGCTTGGCTGAGTGCATCAGACAAGACGACGAAGAAGTGCTGCTGTAGCCTCAAGTTTTCACAAGTTATTACACATGC